GGTGGGAACTGTTAGCTCCGGATAAATTTATTTGAGTAATATAGAAATTTTATTAATATTGCCCAATAAAATTATAACGTTGACGCATTTAAAAATAAAAGTTCATATAAACTATTGTACTTGTACGTGCCCTTACTTTTCTGCTGCGGGCACGCAAAATTTATATTCAACCAATTTGGAATATACCGTAGTAGTACATTCATGTATATTACCGGAATATTTGTTTTCAACATACTAGGTATATTCACCTGCACATATACACAATATGTACATACCTGGCATGTTTATCTGTACATATACCCAATATGTACATATATGTACATACCTAGGATATACTTTTTATGAACTTTGATGAATATACATGCATGTATATTCCACGAACATTCATGTTAGGAATGTTCAACCATGTATATCCCCAGGATATTCCCGCAATGTTCTGTATATTTTTTGAACATTCTGGAATATTCATAAGATATCAAATGCTATCTGGGCACCTCCAGAGGAATGACGCCGATTTTGAATCACCCTGTATTTCCCGCTTGCACATAAACCCAAAATTTATTTTCGAATTTTTAGATTGATCATGTGGTCGTTGGGCAAGGCCCACCTGGAGGTTCCTGGCACCGAATCGACCCGAACGTGCTCACGCTATCGCTGGGCAGTTGGATGTCGCTTCCGGAGGTTCCGTTTCCAGCCTGCACCATCAACGAAAAACGGGCGTGCAGCCGCGACGTGGCCGCCTATTACGAAAAGTACGTCACAGACATGGAGCTGACTAAGTACTTTGTGAACGACGCTTTAGTCACGATGGTAAAGAAAATTGGCGACACGGAAGAGTCCAGAGCTGCGAAGAAGAGAACGATTTGGGTGAAGAAGCTGGATCGCGACGTGGTGGAGAGAGTGAAAGACTACTTCGTGCCGGTGAACGAAGACAGCGAAAACCGCTGCTTTATCACCAACGCTATCAACTGTCTGATGTCGAGGAACGCGCGAAGAAGTCGGCACTGCAGGCGGCCGAGAGCCATGCATCAGGACACTTTGAAGAAAATCAACCAGGTAAGCAACAGCACTGGCTCAAAGTGCATTAGTTCAATGTTGCCATTGCGTTTCAGGCCAAATCCGAATCCATCCTCATCCCCAAACACGAAAGGAAAAAATCGATTTCTTGTTGTTCTTGTTGTGGTGAAACTGAAAACAACCGATCGCCCAAACCGCTGCTCCACTCCCAAAGCCTGGACACATTCACCAAACCCGTGCCTTTCCGTGAAAGACTCCACTCATCGATCTGTGATGAAAAACTGCCTCGATGGCTCGTTCAAAGCACTGATGTTGATACTGGCGAAGTAACACGATACAGTTGCAAATATCTGGTGTTGGCTTGCGGCTCCTACGACTCGCCTAATCGGCTGGAAATCTTCAAGAATGGAAACGATCCAGAGTGGCTGATGCACGACCTGCGAAGTCTGGAGAGCAGACTGGATCAGAAGCTCTATGAGGGGGACAGTGTGGACCCTGTTCTGATTGTGGGCGCAGGTCTGAGCGCTGCTGATGCTGTGATGGCGGTCCGCTCGAGGAACATTCCAGTTGTTCATGTGTTTCGCGGACGGTCTGCCGAATTCACCAAGCAGTTACCTGAAAATATGTATCCCGAGTACCATAAGGTATGTGATAAGTTATATCACTGATAACAATTAATTAGTGATAATGCAAATTTACTCACATGTAATTCCAGGTGCGTCAAATGATGAACGACGGAGGCTCAACCTATCCGCTCTACACAGCTTATCCGGAGCATTCGCTCGTTGATTTCAACTCAGAGACGCAAACGGTGAAACTGGCATCGAAAGCAGGCGATGAGGTGAAGCTGAAGCTGTCGTTTGCAGCAGTACTGATAGGATCGCGCCCCTGCATATCGTTTATGCCCCCCACGATGCAGTTGGGCATTTTCGCCGATAGGGAAATCGATTCGAAGACAAATCCCGTGGAGATAAATCCCTTAACTCATGAGGTCGCCGGGCAAGAAGGGCTCTTTGCAGTCGGACCTCTGGCCGGAGACAATTTTGTTCGGTACATCCCTGGAGGGGCTGTGGCCGTAGTCTCCGAGCTGTACAGGCGCTGGAACTTGGTGGAAAGTTAACTTTAAGCTCCATGCTGAACGGCGGAAGATCATTGTCGAACTGTGAAATGCTTGTGATAACACTGTAGGATCAAATAGGGTAAGGGAATGTTGATTCTGGACCATTAGGGTGCAAAGCAATGAAGTTTTCTCAATGCACTTGCATGTTGTGGGTTGTACCGAATACATTGTGATACAGGAGAGAACAGTTTGTAGTGGTTTCTTCCTTTTTGGGGACAGCTAGAATACGGAAACCTGTGGATTTTTTGTCATTATATGTTTTTTTTACAAACTTCTTTTTGGGTATTTTGCCTCAAAAATTTTTGTCTTTAAAAAAGACAGGATTTCCTCACGTCTTTTACTCCAGATTGATAAATAGTGCTCCTATTTCGCAATAAGAACGAATTATTT